CTCCGAATGTAAACTACCACTGATAATAGGAAGGACTGCAATTATGTGATTCCACCCGCAAACAATTCTACCAGTTTCAGTTCCATTTCAGGATCCCAGTTAAATTCATCCTTCCTATTTTTAAGTCTTCAAATGCAATTGCCCCAGGGAGCCTTCCAGATGTTTATCTCTGTGCTCCCAGCCCTGCTCTTTCTATTTCTCTAATTGGTATCTTCCCCCTCTCTGCAACATTCTGCACAATTCTGGCATTGCTGTGGTGAGAAACTCCTCCTCCTCAGACCCCACATATAGGAGCAGTTTTCTAGCAATTAATTCTCAGTCTCTGCTCAGATATCTGTAGCAATCATTCCTCTGCACATATGCCTCTGTAAAGTATCTTAAAGAGGAGGAAAAAAACCTCCACATCTCATTTGTTTCTTATGGATTTTATGACAAAAGGCTAAAGATACCTTATTTTATTCTGTCCTGGGTTTTTGGTTTGCTCTCACTTTGACCTCTCCAGCTTTGCTAGCTGGCAGACAGCATAGGAAAAGCAGGAGGATGACAATGAAAACAGGGCTCGCATCTGAACAGTCAGAGGGCAGGGGTTTCTAATCAAACTCCTTCTTCCTTCTACTGAACTCAAATTCCTAATAACAGTTAGGAGACAACTTACTCTGGCAGCAGTCACATCTTTATCAAAAGCCAAAGGACTTTCACTTCAGCAGTTTCTTGGAGGAACAATGAAGCTTCATAATTCTGATATTCCTTTCACATACACACACACACACAAAAAAAGAAGGGGGACGATGGGACTTCTTTCCATTTTACTGGGAATTTCTGACCTGAAATCAAAACTCAAGGGACTGAAGGACACTGCAGTGGTTCTTGGATCTGTCTGCATAGAGCTCCCTGCAGGATCAGGGCTCTTGTTTGGAAGTGATATAGTCATGTCTTCTAGGACCTAGTTTTATTCACTTCAAAGCAAAAGACATATCTTCCCAAGTTTATCTTTAAAAAGTTTCTTTCTGTTACTAGTTTCACTTCTTTTAATTTATTCCCTCTCTAGGATCTTTTCTCTGCCACAAATCAACAAATGTATTAATTCAGTCAATGCTGTAACATTCATTTAAAGTAAAAATGCCAGCTGCAGATCTCAGTTGCCGTGTTTATTTAGCCATTTTGTGACTAAAGATTTTGTGAGGTTTGCTTGTTAAACAGTTTACAAGAATAATCTCCAGTACCGGAATCTGATCCATCTGTGCAGACTCCACTGACTTCATTGGGTTTACCTGAGCTGATCGAATTGCAGGATCAGTTCCTACATTTGTACTGAGCTCTGCCAGATTGTAAATTACACATTAAAAAGAAATCAAATCTACACCTCAGCATATGAGAGATTGTTCTAATATGATAGATAAATATTCGATGTAGCCATAGCATCACCTATGCTTATGCTGCCCCTGCACTGTTTTTACAGTTTGTTAAACTGTCAGAATAAAGCAAAGAGCAGGGTGAAGAAGAATCCGTGGCAGAGAGGAGGTAATCATCAATGTGGACTCTTGAAAGAAGGAAAGGATTTGTGGTGGCAGGTTTTTCTTCTGATGAAGAAGGTAGAGTAAGGAGGTAAGGAAATGGCACAGGACAGATGGCACTGTAGGTCTCGGGCAGATGCCTGTGCTGCCATCAGCTTCATGGCACACAGAAGCTAAACTTGGTATCCAAGTAGGGATTTGATGTGCAGGCAGTTAAGGTACCTTAACGAGGAAAGTTTCTGTTCCTGTTGTCTTCAAGGGCTCTCTGGGCAGGGGGCACAGAAATTCTCTGGTATCCTCCACAGCCAAATAGACAAGTGACAAACACCATTACAGGTAATACTCGCTTTTGATGTCAAAAGTCAAGAGACTTAAACAACAGGAAACCTGCAGCAGGGTGATCAATTGCTAGGCCACACCAGAATTCACCTGATTTTCATCCCAATACTCTGTGCCACCTTTCCTTGGATGTCTCCAGTCTCCAGACATGGGCTACGAGGCTGCACACGCATTGCCTGTTGGGGCACACGCTGGTAATACCTGCACATGGAACAGCAGACGTGATACGGGGATGGCCAGAGCACACAACTCACTTCTCTGACACACACACAGCTGACATCGTGGCACTAACAGTGAGTGAGCTGCTGCATGACCTGTGATGCACAAGTCACTTCATCCTGCGCCGCCTGTTTGTAAATATGGTGAGATTATTCAAACACCACATTACAAGCATTTTGAGAACCTCCACAGCTGGAGGCGCTTCAGCAAACGATGCACGCCACATGGGAGGCACCAGTTTTCTTACAGGCAACCCCTTTCTTCCACTAAAAATACATTCATTTTAAAAAGAGCTGTTGCGAATATACCTATCTGTTATTGGGAGCTACTTGTCACTTTGTGGAAAGAAAAGCCATGAAAGTCGGGGATTATTGCAGTATGTTGAGGGTTAGAAAATGTGGAAAATACATTTATAGTACATGAAACTCCATCCAACCCACTACTTGTGCAACAAGTTGTTGCAGTAAAATACATACATTGCAGCCAAACAAATTGTCTAGTTTTCCCATCTAATTTTGTGCCTTTAACAACATTTTCTGCCTTTTGCCTGTTGCCTTCCTGTCTCATGCACTGCAGGAGATTCGTGATTATTTTCTTCCCCACACTCAGCTTAAAAGGGCTTTTCACAAAAGCAGCTGATGGCCTGGTTCAACTGGAAGGTCTCTGATTTGCGATTGCATTAACTTAGAGCACCTGGGACATCAGATTTGATTCTTTGGCTCCCTAAATAAGGTCTCCTGGGATCCACCTTTCACTCTTTAGGTACAAAGCAAGCTGGGCAGCACTAGCAATGGGGCAAAGCATCAGAAGGACCATCAAGAAGGGAACACAGAGCTTCTGGCAACAATGAGAATATTTTAACTACTTTTATCACTGTAATATGAAGTGTCCCTGATCATGGATACAGGACGAAGGAGAAAAGCTGTGAGAGATTAGAAGAGGCTGCCTGAGTGGGGAAAGCAGCCTGTGTAACTGCGGGTATGGTGCCATGAGTGCAAACTCAGTGTCTTGAGGAAGCACGGTGCTAGCACGGGGACACGTTTGCATTAATGTATATTCATCCAGAAGCACAGCAGAGTAAGCTGCACAAGTGGTAACCCCAGTTTTGCTGGTTGAGTGCATCTATATTAAGGGTGTGTGCTGGTGTAATTGCCCTTCTGTCATTACATGGCTATAAATTTCCTTAATTATAGACACGGCCACCTGCATGTGTTATGTAGCACCATAAGTGGTGCTGGAAGTAAGTGTAGAGACTGACCAGGACAGGACATCTCTGAAGCTGAAGCCCGGGCAGCAAACGGAACCAAATGGGAAGCCAGATTTCTTGAAGCAGCCAAGAAGCAGGGAGGAAATAAGCAGACTGGCAGAAACACTCCTGGTCCAGCAGATTCTGCTGTGGGGCAGAAGATGGACTAAGCATCCTTTCCTTCAGCCCAGTTTTCCGTGGTTACCTCATATAGTTTTCAGGCCCTGCTGAAGATGGGGTGTATTCCAGGGCAGAGGCCTTCAGGAGCAGCAGCAGGGCAGGGTGAGCTCGCCAGCTCTGCCACGGCCAGGATCTCTCACCTGGAGGGCAGAAATGCAGCGCAGACACGGGGCTTGCTCTGGTTCCTAAAGGCTCAGCCTGGCACGCAGGCAGATGAACGCTGGCTTGCGAATGTTTTAAAAATAAACAGCCTGAGTCGGGTTTATTTTTAAATTTCAGGGAGGCTGGGGAGCAGGTCAGCCTCGCAAAACCAAGCCCATTTTTCAATGGCATTTTAAAGATGATAGCACCTCTTTAACTTCGTCTCTCATGACGATGACTAATGTGGAGGGAATGCCGGGAGGCTGCAGCCGGTCCAACAGCCCTATTGACCCCAAGAGCAGCAGAGAGGGACCTCCTGCACCTACAAATCTGCGACTGTGACCTGGAGCATGAAACCCTTTGCTGAGGTGCAGCTTCGCCAGATTCCCCAGTGCTTTGTGTGGGCACAAGGGCCAAGAGGGGCTGGATTAGTTGACAGGACAGAGGCCTAAATTTAGCTAAGATTCAATAAGTGGGTGTAGGAAATGAAAGGAAGGAGTGGAAAAGGAAGGACAAGAATAAAAGTGATAGGAATGGATACATAGACTGTATTCATTATGTTCCTGCTTGTGTGTTTGGTTTTTTTTGTTTTTTTTTTAAATATCAGTAACACTTGCCAGGGATTAGCCGATCTCTTGTGCACAAGGAATTTGCCATCAGAATTACAGTAGAAGGGAATCACTTGCAGAGGGATGTGGCTGTGGAGGATGGGGTGTACAGCACGGAAACAGATTTATTAAGAAAATAGAAGGCATTTATGGAACAGTTGGGTAAATAAGCAATTGGATATCGGTGCTGGAGTAGAGGCTGGGTGAAATGCCCCAGCAATAGTACGGCCAGGTGGTTATACAAAAGGTGACTGTCCTCTCCTTCAGAGGACAGAACTTTTGTGTCTTGTACTGGAGAAAGGTGAAGGGCAGAAAGTTTCAGGAGGGAGAGGCAATGGGCCAGAAACATTCAGCAGAAGCATTCCTCATGTAGTTGGGATAAAATGTTAGCATATGTTGAGATCTAGACTTCACCCTAGGCTTGGCAATTAATAAGATTTTTATTTCCTGTCTAGAACCTATCAAATCACAATGCTACAATCACTGGCTGATGGTAAAAAATGCCTACTATTTAATTATTTCAGAAACGCATTTGAGATTATTAAATACACATACTTAAAATTTATTCCCTCTTAAATATAAGTACCTGAATTCTCAATGGATTTTTTTTTTTTACTCACAGCTATTTTCACACAATATAAATGGTGCATTTTCACATGTCTTTTCAAAACATTATAAGGTACTCTAGTCCATATTATAGTTGGAGTCTGAAAAGATAAAGTTCACTTAAATTGTGAATATGCAATCAAGTACCTGATGGCAATATGCTGTCTTCACAAACCAGTGATACATTGTTCCTGTGTCCAGTTACCAACAGGAAAACTCCTGCTTCTCCCTTCCATACCACCCTTTCCACAGCAAAGGATTTGTACAGATGAATTTTCCACAACTTCTGCTCCTCTGAAACAGTAGAAAAATTCAACAATTTTGGAAAATTAGCTACCTTAAAATGAACTGAAGCTCGGAGAACTTTTTGTATATAAAAAGAATGTTTTTAACCCCTGTGATAACATCAGCTTATGGTTAACTTTACGGACTCGTTCTTTGCAGTAGTGAAATTGTTTTCCTCAGTTGATCCATGCCCACAAACCCAATGTCCATGGTTGAAGAATCAGGTAGTAACCCGTAGCCACCTTCTTCTGACATACTGGTTTGTCCTGTATTGGGGATCACTTGTGGAGGGAGGATGGAGGGATGCGTTTAAAGCCATATATGAGTTAGGAGGTTGGAATGGAAGTCATTAGGGAAGAGCAATTGTTCTGGGAGGTAATTATAGGGAAGACTGGCAGTGGGGAATTCAAAGTTTAGCATGCTAAGAAACGAAAGATACGTGCATCAATCTCTGTCCAAACCTCTGACCTAATCCCCCTTTTTTTCTGAGATATTGTAACCCCAGATTTAGCAGATTTGTCATGTCAATAGCAACAAACCTTTTTCAGATTTGTAAATAGTTTTTTGTTTAAACAGCTTTCGAGAATTGAGAGGAACAACAGGAAAAGACGGAATGTACTTTTTGGAAGGCAAACTATCAAATTAACTGTTTTTAAAACTTGATCTTCCCACTAATATCCTCGACTTCCCTTATTTTCCCTCTTTCTAGCCCTGAAATTTTACTACTTAAGGTGGTGCTTCAGATTTGTAAACTATTTTCTTCTCCTGCCCACCCCTGCAGCCTCCCCTGTTGCTGAGAAGGGGCCAGCTGGAGTCCAGACAGGGTGGACTTGTCCCCCAGATTGGTTTTGATTTGTTCTGTTTATAAACTAGAAAAATAAATAAACTTTTTGTTCACTTATCCACTTGCAGTCAGACCAGCATTGTCTGCTCAGGTATGTTTCAGTCCCTTCAGGAGGCCCAATTTTGCATGTCCTGAGCTCTTCCCTTATAGAATCATAGAATGGTTTGGGTGAGAAGGAACCTTAAAGATCATCGAGTTCCAACCGCCCTGACATGGGCAGGGAGATCTCCCACTAGAGCAGGTTGTTCAAAGCCCCATCCAACCTGGCCTTGAACCCCCCCAGGGATGGGGCATCCACAGCTTCTCTGGGCAACCTGTTCCAGTGCCTCACCACCCTCACCATGAAAAATTTCTTTCTGACACCTAAGCTAAATCTACCCTCTTCCAGTTTGAAGCCATTACCCTTCGTCCTATCACCTTCAGAGACTATCCTGCTGCCTGGGCTCTCCAGGACAGTGAAGTAAATACTGGGCTGTTCAAAGCAGCTCTCCACAGCCTTCCACCTCCTCTTTCATCCCCAAGTGAAGTTGCTCCCTTCATTGCTCTATCCCCAGCGTGGACCCCTTCCACCAGAGGAAAACAGATGGGACTCGTCCCTGGGAGGAACCACCTCCTCCACACAAGGCACACGACAAACAGTAGCATCCAGGCAAGGAACAGCCCTGTCCACAGCAGATTTCTCTCTTTCCGTGTCATACCAACACGTCCTTTACCTGCTCGTCCATGCCATACCAGTGCGGTGGCCCAGGGACGCGGGGCAGCGGGGTGCCCTGATGGGGAGAGGGGGTGATCCCAAGCAGGGCCCACCTCACCCCCAGCCGCTGCCAGTGCTCCCCGCCAGGCCCGGGGCCGGCCATGAGCCCCACACCAAGCCACACGCGGGCGGGCCAGCGGGCAAGGGGCGCACCGGGCCGGCGGAGGCCCTGTCAGACCCCCGCTGCCCAGCCCTCAGCAGGCCCCGGCTGCGGGGGGCGCCGCCCTCGGCCGCCAGGGGGCGCG